AAAAGCGGTACAAAGGGCAAACTAAATGCCATGTAGCATTTTCCAGCTAACCTTAGGAAAAACAGAGAAAATAATAATATTATAATTATAATAATGTTGCCCCTCAGTCCGGTCTATACGACCCATGACGCCACGGGGGGCCCATTTAGTCGCTGGCTAGTTAGAACCAGGCAGGTGTCCCGTAGTCTCCATCCATGGCCCAGTAACCAGTCCATCCATCCTTCATCCATAACCCTAGCCCATTCTCCAATAACTGCAATAGCTCCTGTGCACAGGCTGGGGATGGTCTCTGGCTACATCCCATGATATGGTCAGAGACTAGATCCAGCATGTGCACCACTTTCACTTTTGTCGATTATTTTGCGCTTAAAACGGCCTCTACGTGTTGGATCTGTATCCCCACGCAAGCCTTATAAAGGACCGGGCCACTTTTGACCCGTGAGCTCCAAAGCGTACAATTATAATAATAGAATTATAATGCTACGACTTCAGAGTCAGCAAGGAACACATTGAAGGCTTAGTTAGTCCCAAGAGAAAGTTAAGCTATCTTTAGATACACTAGGACCTCCCAGGCCATTTAAATGAAGTACAAAATTAAGTTCGCAAAACGTACGATTAGGTATATTTCAAGCTACAGTCAGCATCTCAGGTTTCAAATTTTTATCATCACTGCAATGTTTTAAAAATTATTTACTAAGGCCCAGTTTTTTATTCATAGTTAAAATAACTAGTTGTTAAATTTTGATACTAATGGTTAAATGTTAACAAAATGTAAACTAATAGTTAAGAAATGTACTAAAACTCGAGATACCTAATGTTCGAAAATAATTTCTTTTCTGATAAGTAACCACTTGTCATTTGACATCTATCAAATTTGACTATTGGTTATTTTAGCTTCGAATCAAAAAACTGGGCCTATCGCCCTATATTTTGGTTATGATTGAAGAAAGGACCACTCACGCGTTCGTAATAATCCTAAAAATTGCATAACTCAAGACAGTAATAAAAAGAGGAAAGAAAAACCTCGTAACAAAATTATGTAGCCAGAATCCATTTAGTAAATAAAGAGCATGCTTCTATGTTACTTAATTGAGTTTGTTAGTTGAGATCCTGTATTTAACGTTAATTAGAGCTTTATAATGAAATTGGGGGCAGTGGCCTGGAGCTTATAAGGGTATATACATTTTGTTAAAGTAAATTGAACATTTTAGTGGCCAATTGGTTTAGGAATTCGTTAAATAAGGACTTACTGTAATATATTTATTTATTTATTTAAAATCTTTATTGCACACATAAAAATACAGTGGTACAACAATATAGGTAATGTATCAATATCATCGGTGTATCAAACATTTTCTATCTATCCAAAAACATAAGTACAATTTAATACTTACCTGGAAATTGCCACGCAATGAGGATCAGTACTGTTGTAGAAAATTCAATAAAACTATCTACGTTATCAAAAAGATATATCTTTCTTATGTCTTAAAGATTAACGGTATCTACGTTTATCTTTAAGACATAAGAAAGATATATCTTTTTGAATTATCCAAATCGGACCATTACTTACGAAGATATTAAGTAATAAACATAGACCGTTTTTGCCGCTAAAAGTCAACGTACGCAGGGCCGCGTGACGTCACTATATCCGAATCGAGCGCAGCCGGCGTACTATTGGGATGGAAAATATTTTTTTCCAGCTAAAGTATCAGTTTTAGAAAAAAACTTTTAATAACATTTATTCAGGGGGTCAAGTCATAACCAGTTTCTATGGGCTGGGGGGAGGGGCTAGCCTTACCCAGCTTCTAGGCTAAGATTAAATAGATTTCCAGGAGGGAGCAGCTGTCCGTTCCTGCAGCAGCTGGCCCGCCCATGGGAACTGCGAATAGATAGGTAGGTACGTAGGTTTAACTCAGAAAAACTAAATAACAGGTAGGTAGCTATTGCGTGTACATCGTAATGATCTTCATAGCAATGTCTTAGAGCCTAGGCAGCGTGTATCTGCTTCAGCTATACCTTATTGTTAGAAGTAAATAAATTAATACTTATACATTTTTATATTTTACTTGGAAGAAGATATGACTCTAACAACACTTATGAACACTTTATTTCAATAAATCGCCAAATATACCACCGCGGAGACCCCAATCGCGTCTCTGCGTTCCATTGAACCGTATGAGCGTATGGATTTTTTGCGTTATTTTTCACAATTTCTATTTTTAAAAATTACCTATCGATAGCTTACTTTATTCTNCGTATGAGCGTATGGATTTTTTGCGTTATTTTTCACAATTTCTATTTTTAAAAATTACCTATCGATAGCTTACTTTATTCTGATGAATAAATGTCATTACAAGTTTTTCTCTAAAACTGATAGTTTGGCTAGAAAAAAATATTTTCTATCCACGCAGTACGCCGGCAGCGTTCGGATCGGATATAATGACGTCATCGTCCCCGCGCCGGGCGGTCAGTGAACTTTTTTAGTAATTTGGCCATAACTTCGTCAATTTTTGTCGTAGAACAAAAATTTTTGGACTGTGTATTAAGGATTTCTTAGCCCTATAAATCTGCATTCACAGCTAAAAATCGAAATGATCCTCATTGGTATTTTTGATATCAACATTTTCCCATTAATGTTCTGTTTCCTGAATTCAATTAATTAATTTTGTATTTATTCAGTTAAGTACCTAAATGAAAAGCACATAAATATTTTTTAAACTGATGTTATATTATACTTTCTTGAAATCTAAACCTTTGTTATTTCTTTAAAATCCTGACAAATTATCATGAAGTATTTAATTAATTTACCAAAATACGTAAATATTTAATTTAATTTTGAAAAAGAAAAACAATTTTGTCTTAGTTTATTTGCGACTCCACACTATGAAATCGATATGCTGCTACATATTACGATACGCTGCCATACTCTGGTATTAATTAAAATGATTAATATTCTTGAAAACTTTTAAAGCAAAGACATCTCAATACAAATACATTAACGTATAATAACCTCCACATAGTTGCAGTTTGTTGCTAACAAGGACGATAATAATATGTTTTGGGGTCGCAAGTGCCGAACTCCAAGTTACGGTATACTTTAACCGTTAAAAGTTTCATACTAACAACCTGAGGCCATTTTCAGAATCAGGAGTATGTTTCAATAGCTTCAACTAAACTAAGACGAATGTTGTTACTGTTATAATAAATCTCGTTTGTATTTGGAAAATTGTATTTTGTAACTTTCGGTTGAAAACCAATAAATACAAGTAAGTAGACATAATAATGATACAGGATGGAAACGATAAGTGATCTCACTCGATTACCTGAAAACATTGAATTTTCGGATAGTTTCAATTTATTCTGTTATTGGTACCGTTTGGATGAGCTCGTGAAGCACTTTCAGGATTAGTAACCAGTATTTGGATATCTTGTACCTATAGTTCAGAAATAATCGAGTGAGATCACTAAGTCGTATTGTTTCCACCCTGTATAGGGACCTAATTACCTACCATGGTATGAAACCAAATCAAATCAAATCAAATATCATTTATTTGCATTAAAGAGGGTAATGGATCGGATCAAACTCCCTGTACTCCGCGCTTCCCTCGACTAAAAATTGGTGTAGCGCGTCTTGGAGGATGAAACGATCTAATTCCTGCATTTCGGATTTCATCAAACTAGTTACTCTTTGAGTAAGTATTTACTTCCCAGCTGCATTATGCATTAACCCTTCCATCTAACACTAGTTTCATCTCTGTTAATTATTCCCATATATCACGGGCCACATAAATTGGCACCCTCACAGACTGCAACTAGACGTTAAGTCTGAAACCTTCTCCAGAGTAATCTCACGTTAATTCGCAATTGGAGTCGACAGCAGATATCGTCGTATCACAGATGAGACCCGCTTTGTGACGCTGGGAGCCTGCCAGAGATTTGCAAGCGGTTCTGTGCATCTAGATTAAAGTACCAACAGACGGTTAAGTTGGTTGGTGAAACTCGCTCTTTTGTTAGTTGTTAATGTTAATTTATGTTAGCACGTTTGCTAATGTCGTTTGAGGCTGATGGAACATAATTTTGTGTGCCAGCAAATATTTTATAACCAAGTAAAGCTTATACCACAGAGTACCAGTACTTTGCTTCCAAGAACGTTTATACAATTGAATGAATGGACAATCAAAATAGAAAACGCATTGTAAAAAAAAAACATTCAGCTTTCAATGAAGCACAGCCACAATCTTAGAGTTACTTTAGATTAAGCGTCCTTTCAAAATACTACTCTCAGGAGCCTATTAAGTAACACAGCTCATAACCAGATTAAATTAAGGCTCTGTAAGGTTTAAACAAGTGTGGTACAAAGTCACGTTAGGTATACGGGACTATTTTCACCTCTCGTTCCCACCGCTGCAACTCCTTTATAGCCAGGATCTACAGCTTGACCGCCATTAAAAAACCCTTCCAGTGAAGGTCAAGTTTGTCCCAGGGGATAGTTAACTGTCATTGGCCATTGCCATGTTAAGTATGCAAGGCGACTAATTAAATTGAGAAGGCAACTATCATGCAAATAAATGGTTGAAAACACATATTGCGCTATCACACACAGGCTTGCGTTTCAGATGCGGATCTGGCTGCCAGCCAGAGGGTACGGAGAGCACATCAAGCAAAATACTGTGGCATCTTATGCTATTGTAGTAAGGGCGTTTTTGAAACAAAAATATTTAGTCTGATGTGCTGTCGACTGTACAGTCAGCACCAAATATTTCGTGACACCCAAAGTAGCCCAAAAGTTGACTATACAACCTTATTCCAATTGTAACAAAGACGTTTTGCGAACTTTTTAATGTGCATGTGGATTGAGTGATCCTTGCTTCAATCTTAACAAAAATCGAGGAAGTTTTACTTAAAATATGTTAAAACATTGCGATGAAGTTTAAAAATTTGTTAAACCTAAGATAAAAATGTTATGGCCAATAAATAGGAGCACTCATACCAGTCGCGCGCGCGCAGTCATCTGTGTCGTGCGTGTATCGGGACCGGAGCCACTCGGGGATCCGTGTAAAAGTAAAAATGTCGTGTGTGAAATGCAACAGTTGTAATATTGTCATTGACGAATTATTGTCCTACATACAAAACAAAATATCAATATCGGACGAAGAAAGCCTTGTGAAAATATGTTCATCGTTTTTTACTACTGAGCAGATCGAAAATTCCAACATATTGTTGTTTCAAGCTGTACCATCCGAACTCAAGCGAAAAATACGTAAAGGAAAAGGAAAGGAGAACCGTGAGCTGTATGATATCATAAGCTTTTTTAAAGCTACTGATCAGGATGTGCTACCGATATTTGTGGCCCGTGATTTGGAGAAACTGCCTCCAATTACGTTCGATCACCTGGATGTTTCAAAACTCCTCAAGGATTTGGTACGGGTACAAACAGAGATCGAATCTTTGAAATCATCATGTGTGACTATAAATCAATTTGAGGATTTTAAGAACGAGTTTCTTAAAGTCAAAGAACGCTCGCCGCCTTTTTCTGCTGTTAAAGTTAACATGAAGAGAGGTGCGTATTGTAACAGTGGCCCTATGGGGCTTTCGCATCTGGACGAGTCATTATTGCAAAGTTATGAAAACAAGACTTGTGACGAGATTATAAGCAACGAAAACTGTCTTCAATATAGAAGCATAAACATAAAAAATCTCGAGGGTATAAGTAAAACCGCTCCAATTCAAAACCAAACTGGTGACGACCGCGGTAAAACGGACTGCGAGAGCGAGCGACAGGTAACGAAACGAAATGAGTCACCGCTATCGCTCGCACCAGATGTAAACAAACGAAGTGAAGTTTTGACGTTGAACGAGAATAGCAGCGCAGTGGAAAATGTCTCATATGTGGACGTAATAAAGTCGAGTGAGTGGAAAACAGTCGAAAAAAGGAAGAGGAAGATATCTAGAAACCGTGTTGAGGGCAAAACAGGGACTGTTTTAATAGATGCCGAGGAAAAGTTCAGGGCGGCTGAGAAGAAAATACCCCTTTTCATCACAAATGTACATAAAGATACCAGAGATTCGGATATCGTTGACTACATAAACAAAAAGACAAATGAAATAGTCACATTAGAAAAAATATCCATAAAACGTCACTGTGAGCATAATGCTTATAAATTCTTTGTATCACAAAATAAACTGCCATTATACCTAGATGAGAAATTATGGCCCCAAGGGATTATTTTTAGACGTTTTATAAATTTTAAAATAAAACGTAATGTAACTCCTACGTCAGGAAGCGGCCCGCCTATATAGAAGTCATGGATAAAAGTTTATACAAGTTTGTTACGTTTAATTGTAAAAACGTCAAACGGTCTATAGATGCGATTCGAGATTTATGCAAGATGTCAGATATCATTGCGCTGCAGGAAACGTGGTTACTGCCAGATGAAATCACATTCCTAAGCACAATTAGCGATGAGTTCTGCAGTACTGGAATATCTGCAGTTGACACAACAGCAGGTATTTTACGAGGAAGACCTTACGGTGGAGTGGCGTTGCTGTGGAGAAGTAGTGTTTTTCAAAATGTGACGGTGATTAAGTGCGATAACCCGCGTATTTGTGCAATAAAAATAGTG